TCTCGACCTCGCGTTCGCCCGCGCGCCATGGAGGAGGTGGAGGAGGAAGGAAGAGGAGGAGGAGGAGGAGGAGGAGGAGGAGGAGGAGGAGGCAGGAGGAGGAGGAGAGGAGGAGGAGGAGCGTTAAAAGGAGGAGCGGAGGCGGAGGAGGAGGAGGAGGAAGGAGGAGCGATGAGGAGGAGGAGGAGGAGGAGGAGGAGGAGGAGGAGGGAGGAGGAGGAGGAGGAGGAGGAGGAGGAGGAGGAGGAGGACGAGGAGGACGAGGAGGACGAGGAGGACGAGGCGGCCGCAGGCGCAAACGGCGCATTCGCCGCCGGGGCAGAAGCGGACAAACGCCGTCGCCGCCGCCACCCCGAGCGGCGGGCCCCCTGGCCGGTCCTGCCACTGGCCCACGAGACGGCTTGCCGGCTGGGCAGGGCTGCGCTTCGCCACCTCCGCTGGCTCGCACGCGACCGACCCCAGGGCCTGGCCGACGGCCCCGAGGCCGAGGCGGCCGCGAGCGCGCTGGCGCGGCCCTGGAGCGCGGACCTGAGCATTGCGCCCCACCGTGCCGCCGCGCGCCAGGTGCGGAGCACGCGACCCGAGCAGCCACCCCGCCGAGGCGGCGGCCACAGGGTCGGCGCCCAGGCGGGAGAGTTCCATGGCATCAGCGGCGGCGGCCCTCGGCCTCGGAGCGGGGCCGCTTATCGTGCTGGGCCACTGCCTGCGCTACGCTTTTGCCGACGGCGCGGACGAGGGCACCATTGAGCGCCTGGTCAGCTGCGGTCGCTGCGTTGCCTGCACCAACATCGACGGAGGCAGAGGGCCCAAGCTGCGCGCTGAGTGCCTGGGGTGACCCCCCAAGGGGCCCAGGGCAAGGGCGGGCGTGACCAGCTCAGCCTCTGGGGGCGCGGGCAGCGCCCAGGAGGGCGCAGAGGTAAGAAGAAGGCCATCAGCACCCCGCGCCAGCTGGACATCGCCAGCGAGCTGCGGGGCGACATCCTGGCCTGGTTCGGCGCGCTGCTCGAGGAGGCGGCGTCTGCAGCGCCCGTCGGACCCGGTGGCCGCGAGGGGGGCGGGGAAGGGGTGGCCACGTCCTGCGCGTCGAGCTCGTCGCCAGCGGGCGGGCTGCAGGCAACCGCCGATCCCGTGCGTGGAGGTCCGCGCGGGGCCGCTCATGGACGTCAGCGGCGGCAGCGGCGTCCAGTGGGTCGGCTGCGGCGGCGATCAGCCGCCCAGAGGCCATGCAGGCGCACGGCCCCGACGAGGCTGGGCTAGCCGACTGGGCGGGCGAGGTGGAGGCGGCGGAGGAGCGCAAGCGAAGGCGCCTCGT